CACTTTCATATATAAGAAAACTTAAGAAACATAGTGAACATTATTCATCCATTTTGTTATGACATTTACGTAGTTCGATCATATAATCGATTGTATCGGATTTGTTGATAACAAACTGGACATCGCATAGAGTAAAATAAGACCCTCTTGTTCATCAGTAACATCCAATATGTTTTCAATATCAGAGGCTGTTCGTCGCACACCTTGCTTAAGTGTGTATATACATAGGCAGGAAACTAGACCAGTGGTTTTGCACATTTTAAACAAACGTATAGTGAAATCATTTGAGGATGTGTCCTCAAGCTCTTTTGAAAGAAAAGTAGAATTTTGAGAAAACAGGTTTTAGTAGAATGCTCCTAACTTTTTATAAAAAAGTCGTAGAAAGTACGCTTGAAGAAATGTTAGTATAATAATTTGGTAGGCAAATCAAAATTATTTCATTTTTGCACGACAACTAAATAAAATTTTGTGGAATGAGTATCATTCTTTTTGTACAAACGCAATTATCAAGCGTCTTGGCAGAAGAGAAATAACTCTGAAGCAGAAAATCGTGGAACTGTTTGAGAAAAAGGATTTAAAAAGTTTTTTTATTTTTTTAAACATCTTTTATTTACGAAATAATAGTAAAGAAAAAATACAACAACCAGAGAAAAACATGTATACGGCAATTCGGGATATCCCATTGTATGCCGCACTCTACATGAACACGCTAGCATAAAATGAATATATAGAGAAGGGAGATTATACTAGTGTTGGTGAAGAGAGAGAGAGAGAATTTGGAATCGACTTGTATCCGCTCTATTCATGTGACATCCTGCTCATGAAGATTTAGTACATCATGACTGATTGAATCTTCTGGTGGTATGAATGAATTGGAGGATGGCTGCATACACTCCTATCAGGTCCTGCTTAAGCAGTACTCGGATAGATTCATGTTTCAAAGGTATGTGTTCCAACGTAATGTGATTATCTTTAAAGACAGTACACAGTTGCTGAAACATAAAGTTACAAGACTTATCATAAAGAGCACAGTCCATGAAAAAGTGTTTAGTAGTCTCTCTGTTAAAGCCACATGCACACGCTGGTGACTTTTCTAATTCACCTCTAGTAAAGAGATAACCATTTAGTTGGAGATTATCAACTCTACATCGCGTATGATGTATCTCCAACCGCCGATCACGCCTTAACGGTAAACGAAAGGACGGAATATATTGCAGGACTAATCTGAGTTTGAAATCAGTTAATTTATGTATTGAACGTATATCATTAGGTAGAAGATTCTAGAATTGCTGTAAGTTCGGCCAGCTAGGGTGCATGGTAAAAGTTTGACTTTTTTGTACATAAGAAACTAGAAAAAAATGGCAAAAGTATCTTGACTCTACTCGACTTGACTCGGAAACACCGGTGACTCGACTTGACTCGGAAACACCGGTGACTCGACTCGACTCGAGGACCTAAAACCGGTATCTGCTCATTAAGCTATTAGCAATGTAGTCAATTATGACTATAAGTTGATTTACGGATGAGTCATTAGGAATAAAGCCCGACTGATTTTTACTTATCACGTTATTTATACTTAGAAACCCAAAAATGTGTCTGTAAATAACATGTTCGAGGACTTTGTATATGGCAGGAAGAAGAGTAATTGGCCGATAATTGTTGCAGCTTTGAAAATCACCGCTTTTGAAGAGAGTATGGACATGTCCTAATTACCAAATAGACGGAAATTCCCTCTTGCTCAAAGGCTCGTTAAAAAAGTGACAATAGGACTGGTTATTCCAGTTAATTCTCTCAACATTCGATTTGAAATAGCGGGGCGGTGGCTTTATTAACATTCAAGTGTAACAAAATCTCGTATACTTTAGTCACATTTATCAGGAAGTCCGACATAACAATTGTTAATTGCGGAAGGGAATTAATAGAAGGAGAAATAAATGAGGTATCAGCTGTACATGTATTGGAGAAATGCCTGTTTAACACTTGCGCTCGATCAAATGGTGAAGTTACGACTTTATTAGATGACGGGTCAAATAAAGGCGGAATACTCGATTGTTTTGTTTTGCCTAAGGAGAATTCTAAACGGGACCACCATGCTTTAGATGAATTTTTTGTTGAAGTTAGTCGTTCATAGTATTTCTCTTTAGCTTGCGTACATCCTTTTTCCAGTCCAACAGTGTATCTCTCATAAGCACTCTTATCTCCATCAGACTTAGTGTGCGGATAACGCTTATAGCACCTTTGTTTCATACTATGAAGATGATGAAGCATGTCTATGAATCAGAGTCGATCACGTGACGATACGGTAATCTATTTGCTTTTTAGATAAGAATTAACAAGCTCTAAAAAGTTTACAAAATACAGGTTTCAATGCATACTTTGTGATTCAGAAAAACTTTCTGTAAAAAGAAAATTGGATTGCAACATATGTTAGTAGAAAATTACAGAAAACCGCATTTTACAGCTAAACAATCGTTTTATATGTCCAGCTGCTATGCGAAAAGCGTCGGCTACGCAACTCTGCTGGTATTTTAAAAATGCACTAATAGTTCCATGTTAAAAGAAAATAACACATGTACAAATATAATGTATTAACAGAAGTAGTAGCCCAAGTAAGTAATATTAACTATATTAATATTCTTTATCGGTTAGAAGAATGTCACATCCGCCACAAGCTGAAACTAAATATGATTCATTCCACGACGAGCCTGATCTTTTCAGCGGGTGTCCCCAAGGTGTTGCATATTTGAAAACTGAAAACGTTTTTAAAATTCCTCTAATTGCCGCAGGTTTTTGTTTTAAATTAGAGAATTTTGAATGCATAGAAACAAGAATAGTTGGCTTGATTTTCGAATCTAGTTTCGATAACCATTCATGAAAACTTGGTAATATTATTGATTCAGCACCCTCGGTATCTATTTTAATAAATAAATCACTACTACCATCTAATAGTTTTTGTTCCTTTAATATTTTAATCAATGGCACACAATTAACTTTCCATTTTGTTTTACTAATATTTGCAATTGGATCAAACGTTTCTTTACCAACTGTACTTATTATTGAACGTGATCCACCACGACCAGTCATTTCAGTTGAATGAATATGATTACTTATACATAACGAACTCACACTTATTTTATGTGATAAATGAGGGTTAACACGTATATTTGCTGTTAATTCAGCTTCGGCATATGGATCACATTCAAATGCAATCACACGTTTTGCAATATTAGCAGCAAATAATACAGTTGGACCAATCCAAGCACCAAAATCAATATGTACCGTATTCGAAGTTAAAAATTTCTTAAAGGCGCCAAATACCGAATTTCCCCAACCAGATTTAAATGGTCCAGTCCACCAACTATTATGAACAGATGGAACGCGATTAACAGAATAAGAAAAAGCCATTGGAATTGGCACAATTTTAGGAAATAAGCTGTTTTCTTTAATAACATCAATTCTCTTTTCACACTTCAAGGATTTTGATGACTTTAATGAATTCAATGCTTTCGTTAATTGTTTTATACGAAGAGCGCCATTGGCTATTGTATGGTTAGCTATCGATAAAGTATCACGTAAACGTTGAACCTCATCAAATAAAACATCATTTATAGCAACATTTCTAGTTCTGCTGTTGAGATTCAAGTTTAATCCCGAACATAAAAAGTGAAATATTGCTGCACAAATTAAAATCTTTGTAGCAATAACGCATTTTGATTTGTGATCCATATTGATACTGTCTTGTGAATTTTTGAACGTTGCGCCAGAATCCGTTGTCGTCACAAAATGTTTTAAAAAAGCTCGTTTAAACTATAGATAAATGCTATGCAAAGTCAATAGTCTGGAATATTGGTGCAATTTGATAGGACGAGTCAATTAATAGATTCAGACCTTTGATAACTTTCATGCACTATTCATCAGTTTTCGATTCCTTACGCCTTATTAACAAGATTCAGTTTAATCTACAAATAAAAAATTATATTTTCTCTTTAGTTAATAGGTTGTGGTTTAAACATCTGTTTTTTTTTGACTAAATGTTGTTGTGTACAATCTACAACTCATCAAAGCAACAGATTCCACATGTGACACGACTCTTCCACGAACCGACACTTCTGCGATAGTAGAAATTTAGGTCCTTTTTCACGACAGACAACCTTTTAAAGCTGTCGCCAGTTGGTGTGTGTGAAACCAGTGTGATTGTCGGATTTTTGCTTTTTGCTTTTCGTTCTTTCTTTTGTTAGAAAAACCTACTTTTCTCTCAATAAGTCATCTAAAAACCGATTTTTGTCGACTTTTGATAGGTTTATCTTGGTGAGTTATTGAGATATCGAGCAGAGATTTTCTGTGGTAGTGAAGCAAGCGAAAACAAAAAAAAAAATTTCGAAATCTGTTTCCAGAAACCGGAGTAATTTTAAAAATATGACAAAACTCGATTGTACGATAAAGTTGCAAATGACTCAGATATAAGTTTAATATAGAAAGAAAATATATGAGAGGAAAAAGCAGAAGGAAAAATCGCGAAAAGAAGAATGGAGAAGACATCTGCAGATTACGTAATTCTACTTCTTGAACTGCTATTCCTCTTCCGAGAATGATTTAAATTCGTCCTGTTCGTCGTCTATAGTCTATAATAAGTCATTCTTAACATAACATATATAAATCAGTATCACGATAACAGTAAACACATCATTTAGTCCTCGTACGTAACCAATGCAGTGTATTCTTTCTTGGTTGAAGACGAATAAAGGTAAACCGTTGCTGGTATACAATCAATATACTTTCAAATGTAACAAAACATCACCATCGAAAAAATATTGGCTCTGTACGGAACCTGATTGTGGCGTGTACATACACACAAATTTGGAAAATGAATTTTTATCAATTACCAGCGACCACAAGCATGTTGCATATCCCGATGTTCTAGAAACCAAATCACTCAAGGAGAAAATGAAAAAACGCATCTTGACCGAAACAACGTCAGTTACAAAGATTTACGATGAAGAAATTGCAAAAGCATATTTGTTTTCTATACTAATATTATTTCGACATTTTCCTTTCTACTTTTTCCTTTTTTCTATTTTCCCCATTCATCAACCTGAATTTCGCTATTTTCCAGTTCAACATGTTTCTCTTCGGCATTTTCCTGATTTTTTTTTGACGTTTTCCTATTCGATGTTTTCCTTTTCTGCGCTTTCCACGAAACCCGTGACAGTGAGTTCGAAAAGTATTTTCATACAAAAGATATTTGCATCATCTAGTATAAAGCTAGTTAAATTAGTCCAAGGTGCACTGGTATTAAAACTGTAACAACAGATAGGTTCATCGGCAATACACATATGTTTTGTATTGTTAGTGTTTCAAATATAAGAAGAGCTTGACAGCTTAGTTTTCGTAGATCAAAACTTCGCCGACGAGGCGGTCCTGTTAGGCGAAGTGTCTGTTCGTGGAAGAGTCGTCGTATTGATTACACATCTATTAGCTTGAGAGTCATAGTGTATCCATAGGCTTAACCCAACTTCAAACGCATTTTAGAGTTAGACGTAACTTAAGACTGTTTTTATCGATAAAATCCCTTTGGAAAATGCAGACTGTTGAGTATACTGTATTCATAGTATAACTTAGCTGAAGAATGAAAAATCATGAAAATTTTCCGAATTATGGAGCTCTCTTAACCCTAGTCGAAAGTCTACACTTTCCATCTTCTAAGATCTGCCAAAAAAAGGTCCAGCATACCAAATTATGATGATGAAATTTTTTCGAAGCACCGCTCTATGATCGCTCTAGAGGGAGTGCTATGACAAGGATCGAATGAGCCCCTTGTGTTTTCCGTGTTCTGTATTTCACATAGTAGTTATAGACCAGTAGTTTATTTTAATTAGAGCCAAATCTATATCTGGGTAAATGCAACCTCAAAGGTGGAAACCGGTCAATCCTTCCGAAGTTTTTCACTTTTATAGGAAAAAGGTGTAAGTCAGAAATTGTACTCTAAACTTTCATTCACTTAGGTCTCTCCTTTAAAATGAAAGCCGAAATTATTAATTGCTGCTGTACAAATGTCGAAAATCCCTAAAAATAGTTTTAAAAACGTAAAAGTCACGTCAGAGAAGAAGTGACCGTAAAGCAGTTTGAGTACTTGGAAGCTTTTAGTAAGAAACTTATAACGCTTGAATGAAAGACTTTACAGAGCTCATTTTGCTGAGAAAAGAGTGTTTACCAGTTCTACACTTCGGGCGGAGGAAAGTGAAGAATTATCAACCCCACACAAGGATTTTTTTCAAATTCTTCAGTATGGGTGAGAGCAACATGGAATTCACTCACTAGTCTATTAGACAATATGAATATTTCAATACCGACTTCTGAAATAAAAACTAAGAGCATTTCTGATGCCGATGGAGGATGTTAACATATTCTACACCCAGAAGGGGACCTCGCGACCTGTCACATATAGTATCTGCGAACTGTCATTGTTTCAGCCAAACCAGTGGGTTATGGATTATCAGCTATGCTGAATCCGAATATCATAGTGGTAGCTGCCTAGGAGTCTTCGGAGAGCGGCCTAAATGCTCATTGTCAGCTCAAAGCTTCAGAAATAAGAAGAAATTAATTTAGAGTTTTTCTTGTAAATCCTATAACTTTGCAAAGAAAGGTCGTGTAGAGCTGGGAGATGTCACATTTTAATCAGAGATTTGCGAGCTACACTTATGCCTCATTAAGAAATGTTTTGGTTATATTTTAGAGTTTCTGAAAAACTGCTTTTCCAGAAAACCGCTCGCCGAAGGTTTCTGGATAGCTACCACTATGATATTCGGATTCAGCATAGTTGATAATCTTTCACTCACTAAATTTCGTTGAAAAAGTGATGTGACAGTTCACGAGGTCCCCTCATCAATCGGTTAACATAGAAACATAAAGTTGATTGTTGATCTGCTTGGACATTAATTGCTGCGATTGTTGTTGAAAGTGCATAAAAGAGAAAGAACTTAGCTCAGTTGTCATTTCAAACGCACAACTGAAAACTCACCCCTCACCCTTTTCACTAATATCAGCTTTCGAAATATGATCACAGACTCAAAGACATGCGTCTATTACTGTACTTTCTTTTTGTTGTTATATTCAGCAAGTAGAACCTATATACGCATTTGTCTTAGTTCTTCGTTAGACCGTTTAGCTGGCTCTGTATCATAGACCTTGGTCTGCTCGCTTAGCCGAATTTGTTGTAACTATCTTTTCTTAATAAACAGGATTAGAAGACAACTGAAAACATTTAGAGGTATAGGATTTTACAATGAGACTTAAACTTTCGCTTACGTTTGATTACTTTGTGTAGTGGTACCACAGTTATATGTACTATTATTTATTGAAAACTTTAAAAAAAAATGAAAAAATCTAAAAATACCTTCTTTCTCGAACTAGAATCAAAATCAAAGACGTCAGAAGTCCGTCCCTACTTTTCTTTTCGTTTCTAACTAGAATTTCCGCTAACATTGATCCAAGTTTAATAGAAAAAGAAATAGTTATACACGTCCAATTCTCTCATCCCGAATAATTCATAGATTCTAGTAAAAACAAAAGATTTATGCTTAATTACCTTTCAAAAGTCGATTATTTGAATTGCAATTAAATTAAGAAGTTTATATAAGCCGACAAAGCTTAAGTAATTGGAATGAAATTTTAGTGGAAAAAATATGTCACAGATGCACTGAATACACGATGTTTTTCTAAGAAAATCATATCATACCCCAAAATGCCTGCGATATCGCCCGACTCTTTATATTTCATACTAATGCCGGTAAACCGATTGGCGTTAAAATTCGTACCGGTACCGGTTGCACCTCTCTGGTATGTACGTTTGCTAATGTTAGTATAAAAGAACGCGCTGCTTCGATGAAATGTGCTTGAACTCCACCGTTAGTAAACTGAAGCTACAAACGAAGAGTATATTCTTGTGTTGGCTTTTTTATAGAAAAAAAGAAGAGAGAGAAGAAGAAAACAGCATGGAAGTCACGCAAGGATGCACTTGTATCAACAGCAAAAAAGAAACGACTATTCAAGACTTGAATAGTCGCTTCTTTTTTGCTGTTCTTAAATTTGAAGAACGAGCACGATGATATAAAAGTCTCTATACCCACGTCTTGCAGAAAAAGAAAATCTGCACAAGTTCTTTAAAGATTTTTTTTTCTTGAAAGTTCTTGATCAACATTTATTGATACCTCTGCACTTGATGTCCTTGGAAAAACTTGATCAAGATTTACTACGGTTTCAAGTCTGATGTATCTTGGTGCCAAGATCTGTTTGTTGTCTTTATTACTGTTTTTGTTTTGTAGTGCCTATATATATAAAACCATCCGCACTGTAAAATATTGAGAAATCTTCAAGTATATTATGGACATAACGTTCAACTAAACAGCTTCGGTATTGTCTGAACAGTACTATAAGAGCTGTGAATTGTGCAGTACTGTTCGTACAGTGCAGTACTGTAGAACGAGCGCAATAGGATACAATAGATAAAAATAAAAATAAATGAAAATAATACTTAAACAATCCAAAAAGTATTCTACATTCATACAGATATCGAAAAACTGTCAAGATTCTGCTAATTAATTAATAACTAACTAATTGCTTCATCAAAATCAGTTACAAATCTAGATCAAGTTTTTCCAAGACAGATTCTGTAACAAAACTTATCAAAATCTTGAACTGCAAGATGATCTCAAGATCTTGTCAGATAT